TACATATTGGCTACAACTAACTACTTCTCAAAATAGGCTGAAGCTGTTGCTTTTAAGGAAGTAAAGAAGGAAAATATTGCAAATTTCATCCGAGTAAACATTATCGATCGCTTTGGCATTCCTTATTACATAATAACAGATAATGGCAAGTCGTTCGACAATAGGTTAATGAATAAATTTGTGAAATCTTTTCAAGCAACGTAACTCTTCTATGTATAATGTTGCCGCCAATGGTCTAGCCGAGACATTCAACAAGACTCTATGCAACTTGTTAAAGAAAGTCGTCTCCAAATCCAAACGGGATTGGCATGACCGTACGGAAGAAGATCTGTGGGCATATAGGACAACTTACCGCACGCCAACACAAGTGACCCCTTATTCACTCATTTATGGAGTCGAAGATGTCTTGCCACTCGAGCATCAAATACCTTCATTACGATTAGCTATTCAAGAATGGATCATTGATGAAGAAAATGCTCGACTTCGATTAGCAGAGTTGGAGGCTCTTGATGAGAAGAGGTTGGAAGCTCAACAAAGTCTTAAATGTTATCAAGCTCGATTGTCTCACGCCTTCAATAAAAGAGTTCGCCCGAGATCCTTTCAAGTAGGATATCAAGTCCTTGCCATACGAAGACCTATTATTACTTTCCATAAACCTGTAGGGAAGTTCACTTCAAAATGGGATGGGCAATATGTCGTGCAAGAAGCTTATTCAAGTGGGGATTACAAGCTGGTTGATGCAGATGGCATGAGAATCGGCCCTATCAATGGGAAGTTTTTGAAGAAGTATTATCCTTGAAGTTGCAACGCTCCTTAACGCATGAGCCTAAACTGCATGTTCCTATACTCCTGGCCCGCATGAGTCTAAACTGTGTACGGTCCAAAAAAAGTCTGCTAGGTTGAAAACCTTGAAAGAGGCGGCCTAGGCAAAAGTTAGGACATAAAAAAAATCACCCATTCTGAACTACGACATGACTTGATCCTCTTCACCGAGGTACGTAGGCAGCTTAGAGTTCTATTCTGAGTTCAGTCGCATAAGTACAAAAGATACATAATCCCCCAATCGTTGTCCGAATGAAGCACGATGAGATGTAATCCATTCAATCAGCACTTGAACTATCATCTGAAACTATCCTTAAGGCATTAAACTTTATATTTTGGATATATTTTAGATTTTGAAGTTTAGTTTCCAATAAATCATTGGTTCGTTATTTCAAAGTTCCTACATCAAGATACAAAAGTTTTGGAAAAGTCACGCAAATCTGAAATGAGTGTGTCAGAATTTAATATTGACTTCAAAATATTATCCGAAACTATCCTCAAGGTATTAAATTTTGCATTTTGTATATGTTATAGATTTGGAAGTTCAGTTTTTCAAGATCAAACGGTTCATAATTTCGACGTTCCTACATCAAGATACAAAAGTTTTGGTGAAGTCGCACAAATCTGAAATCATCGTCGCATCAAAATTTAATATTGATTTCGAACTACTATATGAAACTATCCTTAAGGCAACTAAATTTTGCATTTTGGATATGTTATAGATTTTCAAGTTACGTTTCCAAAACTTAAACGGTTCATGATTTTGACTTTTTTATACCAAGATATGATTTTTTTGGTGAGACCACACAAATCTGAAATTTTCAACGCGGTGGAATCTAAAGTTGGTTTAAAAATATTATCTGGGGCATTTCTGAAGGTGTTTGATTCAAAGTTTTGGATATATTTTAGATATTGAAGTCCAATTTTCGAGAAATCAAACGGTTCGTTATTTGGACTCTTCCACGACAAGATATGAATCTTTTGTTATAAACGCGTAAAGCTGAAAATTATGCGACTAAGATAAAAGTCGGGCAACCTTGAGAGTAATCTCTCCGATAGTCGGGTCATCTAGAGAGTAATCTCTCCGATAGTCGGGCCACATTGAGAGTAATCTCTTCGATAGTCGGGCCACATTGAGAGTAATCTTTCGATAGTAAGGTCATCTTGAGAGTAATTTTTTCGATAATTGAGCCACATTGAGAGTAATCTCTTCGATAGTCGGGCCACATTGAGAGTAATCTTTCGATAGTAAGGTCATCTTGAGAGTAATTTTTTCGATAATTGAGCCACATTGAGAGTAATCTCTCTGGTAGTCGGTCCACCTTGAGAGTAATCTCTCTGATAGTCGGGCCGTCTTGAGAGTAATAGTCGGGCCACATTGAGAGTAATATCTCCGATAGTCGGGTTACCTTGAGAGTGATCTCTCCAATATTCGGGCCACCCCGAGAGTAATCTCTCCGATATTCGAACGGGGATGAATATCCATCCCTTCACACCCTAAAACGCCCTTATTCATGCGTGGATCATCTCTTTAAGCAAGAACATGTCCTTATTTTACATACTAAAAAGACTATAGAATAAAGAAAGTACAAAAAAAGAAGAAGAAATTATCTTCGCGTCAATGCTTCCAAGTCGTCAAAAGTAAACTCAAAGTGATTTGCAAACGCTGTAAGTGAAACTAATAGAATAAAGAGTATTGTATTTATAGAAGTCATATGGCAGTTTTTGAAGGTGAATTGCCGATGTGGGATTATGTATTTTACATTCCGCAAGGGATTCGGCTATGTATCTTCGAGAAGGGAGTAGTCTTTTTTCGACAACAATGTAGGAATTCGAAGGAAACTCAAATTGTATCTAGTCATTATCGTATTTAGTCATTACAATAAGAAAGAATTTGTTTCTTAATGGGAAAGTTTGATGTCACTGGCGGCTACAATTATAATTTGCATGGTTTTGCTTTTATCTTTATTCAAAGGTAATGATTATTACATTGTTCGGGTAATTGATTGGGTTGTAACAAATTACTTGGGTGACACTTTGCATTCTAATCTAGCATGCGACAATTTGATAGTCAGCTAATACTTCGTGATCCGTTTTCGGTTACGACAAGTCTATACCTCAACAAGTCTTAAAGTAGCGCATTTGTAGGCGTATAAAATTTACGGAATTAAATTCATAAATTAATTTGGACAATATCTTAAATTCAAGATATATTGGTTCACATAAATATTATGGGTTAATATAATTGAATTAATTATATAAATCCAATATATATGGATTTAATAAATAAGTCTTAATCCATTGGGCTAGTCCATTTAATTGGGCTAAAGTGATGATCCCAATTCGTTAAGCCCAAGATATCATCTTCCTAGAGGCCCAATTTGGTGCGACGTGTCATATGACGTGACACTCCAAGTCAAGCGAAAGAGCCAATAGGATCATGCCACGTGTCAAATGACAAGGCATTCCAAGTCACATTAAAAGGCTAATGAAATCGCGCCACGTGTGCAAGTGACATGTTCTGGCCAATCAAATGCGGCATTGTCACACTTCGATATGATTGGTCGGAAAGAGTTTGTTCTTATCATAACTCTTCCCTTTCACAACTATAAATAGGGTCTTCATAACCTAGAAAAGACACAAAAAGATATAACAAGAAGCAAGAGAGAGCTCGCGGATCAAACGCCGCAAATTTGTCTACAAGTGTCAAGCTTCAAGCAATCAAGTTCAAGTTCAAGCTCAAGAACGAAAAACAAATCAAGATTCAAGGAGTACGAGTTCAAATCAAAGTTCGTGCTGTTGAATTCAAGATCATTGTTCGTGGCAACACCTACATATTCAAGATCAAGCTCAAAGGCCCTTGAATTCATTTACTATTGGAAAGAAGAAGCAGAGGATCCATAGAGATTGTACACTCATATTATTTGAAATCAAATACTACAATTGTTACGATATTTTCGGTCTCGATTATTTTCTTGACGCAAATTTAGTATCTACAAAACCAACTTAGCCTTTTGTTCAAACAAATATAGAACTAAATTAGATCGTCTTGCACCTTACATAATGATAATTCATATTATGTCAAGTGAAATAAGTATAAGGAACCATATGTGGATACACTTCTTCATATAAAATTCATGTACAACTACAGGGATAAACTCTTAAATTTAAACGCAGCTTTTGATGTAGGGAAATAGGAAATATTTGTGAGAATCCTTATCATGTTACATTTGTCGGTGCTTCACTTTCAGTTCGTTGATGTGAATTTCTTATGTAAAATAACAATGGAGCTTCGTTTGAAATACAAAATGATCAGGGTATAGTTCATAGTAGAATTTTATTTAATTACTGCAGTCGAGATACTTTTGTGTGTTTTGAAGCAACAATACCGAAGAACTCTTTTACATAATTGATTATCAATAGATGCACGAATGAAAAGAATTAAATGCTAGACATTAATGTTTGCTGGCTACATTGCATGCACCTCTTACGGATGTAAAATGGTTCTACCAATATGTTTCCCAATAATTATTCTATTCTATAATTGGATAAGAAGAAAAACATCAAACATGAATATTTTCTTATTATACCATGTGCAATTATCACCCCCTGAATTTAGGAAATAGATTCACCCACCCCACCGGAGACTAATTTGGAAATAGATTCAGCAACTATATATATACACAATGAAAAAGGAGTAACTAAATACTCTCTCTCCTAGTTGAAGACATGAATACACGTTTATTTTGTGAAGTCAATATTATGGTTGATAATGTCATTAACATAATTAGAAAAAGCTTACGAGAATGTGTAATTGCTGATTTATAGACTGTAAAATTAGTCTCTTTAATTATTAGTTCATCACGTGCCAGTCATAGAAGAAATCTAAATATTCACTCTCAAATATTCTTATCACAATGTATAACTTTCTCATGACAACATTTTACTAAAACAAATTCTCAAAGTTATTAAATCACAGCCAAACTAAATAAACATTTTGGTCACCAAAATTAAACTTTACATCAAAACAGTTTTTGAAACAATAATACTGGGTCAAGTAATGAATTAGGAAATTGTGAGACGTTTCAACATAAAAAGTCTATAAGTAATCTAATTGAAAAGGAAGAAGAAAAGAAAAGATAAAAGAGTGCTTGTAAATGCCATTGCTTTGTTTTTTTTTGTTTTTTTATTGTGTCCACGGCTGTCACTCTTTCGCTCAAGATTCAAAACATTGAACCCTTTCAGCTCATTTTGTGTTTGACTAGTTGCCCCAAGAAAGGTTTTTGAAGTTTCTATTTTTAGCACTGCCCTTAACTAAATTGTCTCAAAAAGAGGTTGTTTCTTCTTCTTGTTCTTTGTGCTCCTATTGAGTTGAACACCCAAAAAAAGATCGATGACCCTTTTCTTATTGGAAGAAAATACAGTAACCCTTTTCATTTGAGCTCAAGATTTGCTCATTTCAAGTTCAAATCTGGCGTTTTCTTGAGGTCAGAATTGACTTTTCATTTATGGGTATTGGCCTTTTGACTTCATTCAAGATTTGGTTGATGGTATTGTGCCCTTTTGTTGCAATGTTTTGAATCTTAATAGACATGGCGTTTCATTGTTTGAGTACAGATCAATACTTGGAAAAGTTTTGAATGTTGAGCAATTGACAGTGTATTGTGATTTGACTCTATAAGAGTCAAACAGCTGGTTGAGCTTGTGCTGAATTTGTCATCATTGAGGATATTTTCAGTGTACTTGATGTACTAAGATGGAGTTATTATCTATTCTGGTCTTATAAGCTATTCCTCATTTTAAGCTATTATAGTTTCAGAAATTTTCATTATATTGATAGAGTTGGATAAGGCCTAAGGTATTAGTTTCGTGTGTCAAATTCAGTGGACATCATATTGGTTACTTCTGGCAAGAGTCTCTTTGAAACAATTTAAGGTTGTCTGATTACTATTATGGCTTCAATTAGAAGAACATTGTCCCCAGTGCCTCGTCCTGGTAGTACTATGAATGGAGAGGCATGTCTTGTTGCCTCTCCTTTGTCCAAGTCATCATCATGTACTCATAGCTATACACCAACTGGTACATTGCTGTCTTCTCTTGGTTCATTGGATTATGCGTTGTGCAAGGTTCAAACATTTGTACTTGGTCTTTTGTCACGAAGATCTTCTAGGCCATTGGAGAGGTCAAAGTTGAAGGGGCTCATTTGGAGGAGAGCTCTTTTACAATTCTTTATCTGCTTTGTTCTTGGAGTATTTATTGGTCTTACTCCATTTGTTTCACTAAATTTGTCTACAAATTTTATATCTAAACATCAAGCTTTCTCCTTTGAGGTCGAAGAAAATGCTCGCTCATATGACGTATCTAGAAATGTGACTTCAACCACTGAGAACTTGCCTATCGTGGATAATTCGACATCAGAGCCTAACTTAGTACATGTTGAACTGAAAAAAGAAATTGCCAACAATGCCTCCTTTAACCAATCACTTGAACAAGAGTTTATGTTGTCCCGTAAACTTTTGATAATTGTGACGCCTACAGAAACTCGGCCATTTCAAGCATACTATCTGAATCGTCTAGCCTATGGATTAAAGTTGGTGCCTTCTCCTTTGTTGTGGATAGTTGTTGAGATGAACTCTCAGTCTGTTGAAACTGCTGATATATTGAGAAGAACTGGAGTTATGTACAGGCATCTTGTGTGCTGCAAGAACTTAACTGATGTGAAAGAAAAAAATGTGCACCTAAGGAATGTTGCACTCTCTCACATTGAAACACACCATCTCGATGGTATTGTCTATTTTGCTGATGAGTACAACATATACTCTGCTGATTTATTCGAGCAGATGAGACAGATCAGGTACTCTATTTGTTAAATTTTCTTACTTTCTGCGTGTTAGCTACCTTGTTTTACTTTTGTGACATAAAGCTAAGTGGAAGAAAGTTTCCAGTAGGATATATCCTTAGGGAACATTACCTATGCTCAATTTAGTTCATGATTGCTTGTTCTCGTTTCTTTAATCTCGCATAAGCTGTTATTATTTTGTTTATAGTTATATAGGAAATTCATGTTTAAATCCTTAACAGGTCAACTGTCATTTGCATCTTGATCACTCTGATCTTGGGTGCCTCTCACTATATCTTGTCTCATTATAAGCATTTGTTTTAAATGCGATGAATCATGCCCTTCTAGGTAATCTGCTGAGTCTGTAATCCTATTTATCAACTTTTTTGATAAAAAATTGTTGTATGCAGCCGGTTCGGGACATGGATTGTGGCAAGACTAGCTGAAAATAATAGGAACGTTATCTTGCAGGGTCCAATCTGTAACGCCTCTCTGGTTATAGGTTGGCACACTGAAGGTAGAGCAAAAAGATTTCAGAGATTCTCTGCAGAAATATCGGGATTTGCGTTCAATAGTACGATACTTTGGGATCCTAAGAGGTGGCACCGACCAACACTAGAACCTATAAGGCAGTCTGATACAGCCAGAGCTGGTTCCCAAGTGAGTTTTGCGTTCCTGGATCTTTGATGATTGTTAATAAAAATAGATATTCTGTTAGTGGATACTTCTTCAAGAGCATGGCTAGTGAAAGTGTATTTGAAGTTGGAGCACTACACCCAATCACCCTTGGGAGAAAGGGGAAGGGATATTACAGCTGTTATCTATATTACCGTATGCGAATATGTCAATCCTAATGATTTTATTGCAGGTGAGCACATTTATTGAACAAGTGGTAGAAGATGAAAGCCAAATGGAATGCTTACCAATGCACTGTTCAAGAATCATGGTTTGGCAATTCAACACAGAAATATTGTACCCATATCCTCATGAGTGGCTGGTGAAGAATTACTCAAGCACCATTACTTCAGTTGGATAACAATTTTGACATACAGAAAGATTCTTGAGCATTAACAAGGTGCGTGAATTCTGTCTATATTTTTCCCATGAAGCTCCTTACTAGCTCTTTTAGTGTTCTCTTTATTTCCAGCTTTTATGAACATTTTTGGACGTTTTCTAGCTTTAATTTGTCATGTATTTGTTGTAACTTCTATCTTATGAGGTGTCTGCTTGCAGTGATTTTCTATCTTATGAGGTGTCTGCTATTTTCAAAGAGATTTCCATATATTAGTGACGACATCATCATCATCATCATCATTAAATACTTTGGGAAATCAGATGCCGAGGAGTCTCCAATCCAAGTCACAGTTTCCAATCATGAAAACTAAAGTTATTGATTTTCTCTATACCAGTCTACTAAGATCAGTCCACATACTCCGTGATTCTGAGTTTTCTTTTTCTTTCCTGCCATACGATGTACAAGAATTTTAGCAACTTAGAATAGCTTATGTCAAACCCTTGCTTATTTGCTACCTAACTTACCCTACAAAGCAGCTTAGATCCAAACTGCTGCTTCTTTGCTACCAAATTACCCTAAAATCTTCCACCCACCAAAAGTAGGGATTGCAATGAGGAAGGGTTGGGCAAGGCAGTACCTAGCACCACCTGAGAGGATCTGGGGTGGTGATGGAGGAACAACATGTGGGCATGGTGGTGGTGGTGGTGGTGGTGGGGGCATGGTAGAGGGAGGGGAGGATGAGGACCAGTGACAGGGCCCGTAATTTCACTAAGGGGTTTCAAAATGTAAAGAAGTATACGCACGAAGAAACTAAGGAGATTCAATATATAGTCTATACATAGCTACACAGTGCAACTTTTTGATGAAACAGGTGTCAATTAGTCTAAAGTGGCTCTGTCATAGGACGAGGTAGTGCATTTGGGTTGCCAGGTGGTGACGTGTCGCATGATCTTTTGTTATTTGGAATATAGGAAGGGAATTAAAAGTAAATGCAAATCAAAAACTTGATTCAGATTTTGAGAAACGAATAAAAATTACAGATTTGGATCTTGACTGTTTTGTGAGTAACGTTAGATAATAGTTAGTAATGGGCAATAATTACTAAGAATACCAAGAAGAAACCAAAGATATCAAAGAAGAAGTTATCTTACTACCTTGAACTATGAACTAGTTAGGTTGAAAGATAAATCCCACCGCAAGAAGCATCAAATGTTCTATAGAACTCTCAAGTGAGTTGAAAATCAAAAGTGGTGAAACAGGTTCGCTGTGCAAATTTGACATTGAAAAAGCTTTTGATCAAGTGAGTTGGGCATATCTCATCAACATCCTAGAGAAGATGGGATTTGGAGATAAGTGGATAAGGTGGATAAAATTCTGCATATCAACTGTGAAATATTCCATGTTGGTTAACAAAAGCCCTGTAGGTTTCTTTTCTCCTCAGAAAGGCCTCGGGCAAGGAGATCCTCTCTCTCATTTTCTCTTTATATTGGCAATTGAAGGTCTCTCACAGATGCTAGGAAGGGCAAAGGAGCTTAAATGGATACAAGGTTTTGAAAGTGGAGAGAAATCCTGCAAACCAGTCAATGTATCACACTTGTTATATGCAGATGACACATTGATCTTCTGTGGTGCAGAAAGATCACAAGTAGTCAATGTCAACCTCATCTTACTCATTTTTGAAGCATTGTCTGAGCTACACATCAATATGTTTAAAAGTATTATCTATCCGGTGAATGAGGTTCAAAATTTGGAGGAATTAGCTGAAGTACTTAGATGCAAAATTGGCTTCTTCCCTACAACTTATCTAGGACTCCTCTTGGGAGCCAAATTCAAATCCACCGGAATTTGGAATGGAGTCATTGAAAAAGTGGAAAAGAGACTAGCAACTTGGTAAATGCAATATCTCTTGATGGGGGCAGACTCACACGGATCAGTAGTGTCCTTGACAGTATACCAACTTATTACATGTCTTTGTTTCCTATCCAAGCTCAGTTCGGAAACAGCGAGACAAGCTAAGAAGAAGGTTTTTATGGGAAGGAAACAGTGAGACTCACAAATTTTCACTTGTTAGGTGGCCAAAAGTAACTCAACCAAAGTCTTATAGGGGATTGGGTATCTTAGGCTTCAGAACATGCTAATAAAATGGCTATGGAGGTGTGGACACATTAAAATACGTTACTAGAAGGAGATCATTGACGCCAAATATGGAATTCAGAATCATTAAAGCTCCAAGAAAAGTTTAGCAGCTTTCAAAATGGTTTTTTTCAGAATACATCATTCAAAGTTGGTAATGGTGTTCATGTGAAATTCTAGAAAGACATATGGCTTGGTAATACAGTACTAAAGGATTCATACTCCGGTCTATACCAAATAGCCTGCAATCAAGACTTAAATATTGCTCAAAATAGAGAGAACAATGTTTGGCATCTAGTGTTTAGAAGAAATCTTCATGATTGGGAAATCAATGACTTGCTTGCTCTCCTAGCCACACTGGGAGATTTCATCACTGAATAGTTGTAAGACTTGGCCAAAAGATTTCCTTGGGACTTGAGCTCTTCTTCCACCATAATATACTTTTTAACTGCTAGTTGAAGCCCAATAAGCTTGTCTTGTGTTATATAATGAATGTAGACATACGCTTATGTAATGTACATAGCTAGAAGAATATTTCCTTTTTGATTCTTTTCATAGTTAGGGTTCTATGTACTTGTAATATATACTTGTTACTTCTTGAATAATATTCGAGAGAGATTGCTCTATTGTCTCTGTACTTAACATGGTATCAGAGCCAAGGTTGTAGCTTGGTCGGAATTTGATCGCTTTCTTGCCGGAATTCGTTTGCTGCCTGATTCTTTGCCAAGTTGCAAAGTAACTATCACAGCTTACCTAGGGGGAATCGCCTCCCCCTAATCTGTAGAAACCTAGAATTCAGTGGCTAGATTCCAAGTTACATTCTGGCAGGATTACTTCGGCAGCACGTATGGGAGTGTGGAAGGAAAATTTGAGATTCGGCTTTCGTCTCTGACATAACAAGTGATTTGCTGCCAAAATTGTTGGTGGCTTTCTTGGTTAGACCACTCTCTCGCTTCGTGACTGCTTCTCTAATTTGATTGAGGTTTTCTCTGGTTATTTATCTGTTTCTCCGGTTGTTTTTCTAGTTGGTGTCTATCTTTGATTCTTTTTTGAGTGACTATAATTAACGGACCACGGCTGGCCATATTTTCTTGCTGAAGATACTGTCAGATCTTCTCTCTCGTGAGTTTGGTGGCATTGTAGGGCTCAGAAGCAATCAGTATTATTTTGTTTGGTGGTAAAGAGTTCCTTTGATTTATTCCTTTGGTTAGTTTGGTTAATTGCTGCTATTTCATCTCCGTAGTTGATTGATAACAGTTACCAATTTGGCTGGGAAACCTTTCAATTTTGTCTACTTTGATTCTGATATTGATTTTCTCTAACAAATTAAGTTGCTTTCAACTGTAAGCTTGTTAAGGAGTTGATTTTGCGGTAAAAGTTTTTGATTTCTTTAATCGTGAGTTTTGTTAGTTGAAAAAAAGCAATATCTATTAACAGTAAGCAAGGAGGAAATAATGCTACAGCTCCTAGTCAAACAAGCTTGGTTCCCAACGAGTTTCTTAAATTCTTTCAATATTATCAATTAAGGAATCTTCTTTAGTTACTGCTTTCGCTAGATCAAATAAAACATGTCTGTTACCTCTTCAAATAAATGGCGATTGATTCAGGTGCCACAAATCACATGACAAGCAATTCAAATATTTTTTCTACATTTCGATCAAACAAAGCACCCTCTTTGGTTACTGGAGCTGATAAATCAACTTGTAACAGTGTTGGATCTGGAACTTTTAAACCAACTTCCTATATTACCTTGTTATCTGTTTTAGGTCTACCAAACTTGGTCTTCAATTTGATTTTTGTTAGTAAAATCACCAGAGACCTTAATTTTTGTGTCTCATTCTTTCTCGATCATTATTTGTTTCTTGATCTTACGACAATGCAGGTTATTGATAAAGGATATGTATTTGGTGATCTCTACATTCTTGATGAATGGGAGCCACGGTCTGCTGCATGATCCGGTGTTGTCTCTCCTTTTGAAGCACATTGTCGGCTAGGACATCCCTCTTTACCTTTGTTAAAGAAGCTTTTTCCTCAATTTCAGAATATTTCGTCATTGAATTGTGAGTCATGTCGAATTGCAAAACACCACCAATCTCGTTAGGTCCAAGGGTTAATAAGCGAGCTGAGCCAGCTTTTGAGTTAGTCCCATCTGATGTTTGGGGACCATGTCCGTTTTTTTTTGTAAAACCGGGCATAAGTATTTTGTTATCTTTGTAGATGATTTTTCTCAATTGACTTGGATTTACTATATGAAGAGCCGCTCTGAAGTGTTTACTCACTTTTCTACTTTTTGTGCTGAAGTCAAAACTCAATTCAATGCTTTAATGCGTATTCTAAGGAGTGATAACACCAAAGAATACATGTCAAAGATATTTCAGTCCTACATGAGACAAAATGGTATACTACATCAGTCTTCATGTGTTGATACACCCTCTCAAAATGGAGTTGCTGATAGGAAGAATAGGCACTTGAGACAGCTATAGCACTATAGATTTTGAGAAGAAGAAAAGTTTTCTTGTATTTATGTGTATGTTTACATCCCATGAGTAAGGAAATTTATACAAAGCTCCTAATGTTAATTAAGGAAATAAAATAAATCTGTACAATCAATCCAGCTATCAAATCAAATCAAATAAAATCAGATCTCCTAAATATAATTAAATCTCCTAAAATCATGCTAATCAACACTCCTAAATCAAGTCTCCTTGAATCATGCTAATCAATATTCCCCCTCAAGTTGGTGCAAAGGTGTCGCACATGCCCAACTTGCAGCTGAAAGTATGGAAAGTTCGCTTGTTGAGACCTCTGGTAAACACATCAGCTAGTTGTTTTTCCGATGGCACATGAAACAAACTCAAGACATCAGTTGTAACTTTTTCTTTGATGAAGTGTTGATCAATTTCCACATGCTTTGTTCGGTCATGCTGGACTGGATTATGAGCTATACTGATGGCAGCTTTATTGTCACAGTACAAGGAAAGTTTTCCTTTTTTCATATAGTTTCAAATTCTGTAGTAGCTTTTGTAGCCAAAGCAGGGCCATAGCTCTATATTCTGCCTCCGCACTTGATCTAGCAACTACACTTTGCTTCTTGCTTTTCCAAGTAACCAAGTTTCCTCTTACGAGCGTACAATAACCGGATGTTGATCTTCTGTCATCTAGAGATCCAGCCCAACCCGCGTCTATAAAGGCTTCTATTTGGAGGTGATCATGTTTGGAGAAAAGTAGACCTTTCCTTGGAGCAGACTTCAGATACCGCAAAATGTGAAAGACAACTTGCATATGAGGATCTCGGGGATCATGCATGAACTGACTCACCAAGCTAACTGAATAGGCTATGTCTGGTCTAGTGTGAGAGAGATAAATGAGTCTTTCAACCAGCCTCAGATATCTCTCCTTATCAACTGATTCTCCAACTCCGCTTTGTAACTTGTGATTGCTTTTAATGGGGGATTCTGCGGGTTTGCAACCTGTCGTACCGGTTTCTTTCAAAAGATCCAGGATATACTTCCTTTAAGAAATAAAGATTCCTCTTTTGGATTTAGCAACCTCAATTCCCAAGAAATACTACAATTTTCCTAGATATTTGATCTCAAATTCATGTGCCAACAACTTTTTCAATCGAGACATCTCCTCTTTATCATCTCCTGTCATTACTATATCATCAACATAAACTATGAGAAGAGTGAGTTTACCCGTTTGATGTCCCAATCAAGATTAGCTGCACAAGATAAAAAAATTCTAACAGTGTTCATCTTAGCAACAGGGGCAAATGTCTCTTGATAATCCACTCCATAAGTCTGAGTGGCCACCAATCTTATTTTGAATCTTTCAATTGAGCCATCAGCTTTGTGCTTCACAGTAAAGACCCATTTAGAGCCAACCAACTTCTTATCTGGTGGTGAAGTGACAAGTTCCCATATCTCATTTTTTGACAAGGCCTTCATTTCTTCAATCATAGCTTGTTTCCATTTAGGATCTACAAAAGCTTCCCTCTAATTCTGGGGAATAGACACAGAAGAAATAGACAAGGCAAAGGCTTTATAGGAGGGAAACAAAGAATTTTAGGAGACAAAATAGATAAATTTGGAGGTACAAGATCTGACTCCTTTTCTGAGAGCAATAGGTTCATCTAACTCATTAGGAAATGTAGATAACTCACCAGTAGAAGAAGGTTCAATGTTAGTAGATTGCATGATGGCTTCTTCTGCTCTATTTTTCCTTGAGTAAGTTTTCAAATCAGGCCTATCCAAACGTCCAATCGTCTCCCCCTGAATTCTTTCTCCAATTTCACTTTTCCCTGTGACAATGTCATCAAGAGGTCCAATAATGGAACTAGGTAGAATCACCTCTTCCTCCTTACTGCTCTCCCCCTGAAGAGGTGATGAGGTAATACTGAAATAGGGCTCAAATTCTCGAAAGGTAACATCCATGCTAACAAAAGATCTCTTAGAGGGAGGATGATAACATTTGTAACATTTCTGTGTCGGAGAATATCCAATGAAAACAAACTTTATAGCTCTAGGATCAAGTTTCCCAAAATTTCTAGTGTGGACAAAGCAAACGCACCTAAACACCTTTGGAGGAACAATATATTCATTCTTACCCTTTAAAATATCCAGAGGACTTTGAAATTGAGGGGTTTAAGTGGCATTCTGTTGATAAGATAGGCAGCCGTTAGAATAACATTCCCTTAGTAAGGTTTTGGTAGATGCATGGTGAACATAAGAGATCTTGCTACTTTTACGGATGCCTATTTTTTCTTTTAGCGACCCCATTTTGTGCACAGTGTAAGGACAACTAGTCTGATGGACTATCTCATTGGACTCCAAATAAGCACTAAATCTTTTATCCATGTATTCGCTGCCATTGTCAGTTCCCAAGATTTTTATTGCATCAAACTGAGTACAAATCATCTTATGAAATGACCGAAAACAAGAGAAAACTTCACTTTTGGCTTTTAACAAATATACCCAAGTCATCCTAGTGCAGCAATCAATGAAAGTAACAAACCATCGACTACCAGACAAAGAAACAGTTTGGGTAGGACCCCATACATCAGAATGAATAGTCATAAACGGAGTTGTGCTTCTATTATCTCTCACAGGATAAGAGTTTCTAGTATGCTTGGCATATTCACACACATCACAGAACAAAGATTCAAATCGAGTCCTTGAAAACCAATCGGGATATAACTTCTTCAAAACAAAGAATGATGGGTGTCCTAACCGTTTATGCCGTTGTATTATTTCTTGGTTGACATCCTTACTTTCCCCAAAAAAGGCTTAACTAGAGTTTTGAATCCCATTAATATATACAAGTCATCACGCAATCTACCACTGCCAATCCTTTTCCCTGTTTGAAGATCCTGAAAAATACAATGATCGGGAAAGAACTCGATTTTACAATTTAGAGCTTTGGTGATGGCACTAACAGATAAAAGATTGATAGGGAACTCAGGGACATAGAGCACGGATGATAGTTTAATATTGGGAGTACAAATGACAGTTTCTATTCCAGAGATAGGTGTTAAAGAACCATTAGCTATTTTAACATTATCTTCTTTGGGACACGGAGAATAGTTTTGAATGCCTTTAGAAGAGCCTGTCATGTGTCTATTTGCACTAGAATCGACAATCCAAGAATTAAAGTTATCAGCAAAGGCAGTACCTGATTGCACATGATTGGATGTGGCAACATTAGCGGAGTCAAGTTTGGCTAGGAGGCGACGGAGAAGGTGAATTTCATCCGAAGACAAGATTTCTCCAGAAACCATCTCCTTGAATATCTCCATATTTCCGCCCAATCAGAAGGAAATTAGAAGGAGTTTGTGTTGCCGAAAACCAACAAGAGAGAGAAAACTCGACCTCTTTGATAAAAAAAGGAACTCTAGTGCTGCGAGGGAGATAACTCACCTCAAAAATGTAACAATGGTTCTGATACCATGTAGATTTTGAGAAGAAGAAAAGGTTTCTTGTATTTATGTGTATGTTTACATCCCATGAGTAAGAGAATTTATACAAAGCTCCTAATGCTAATTAAGGAAATAAAATAAATCTATACACTCAATCTAGCTATCAAATCAAATCAAATAAAATTAGAATAAAATCAAATCTCCTAAATATAATCAAATCTCCTAAAATCATGCTAATTAACAAGTACATTTGTTTCAAATTAAGGTTCCTGAACAGTTCTGGGCTGATGCGGTCTCTACGACTTGTTTTCTAGTTAATCTCATGCCATCTACCGTGCGTGATGGTAATGTGCCTTATAGTGTTCTTTTTCCGAACAAGTCATTATTTCCAGTGGAACCTAAGGTGTTTGGAAGCATAGGTTATGTTCGAGATGTTCGATCATCTGTTACCAAGTTGGATCCCAAGGCATTGAAGTATGTTTGTTGGACTATTCTCGCCTTCAGAAGGGGTATGGTGTTATTCTATTGAACTTGGCAAATATTTGGTGTCGACTAATGCGGTATTTTCAAAGACTACACCATTTTTCTATGCACCTCCCATTTCTACAAGCCAAAGGGAGGGAATGAATGGCTAGTATGTTAGGTTACCCGTACTTTGACAGAACAATCAGATGATATTTCTCCATCTCCTAGTTCTTATATTGAGCAGCAATCGATTATTGTGCCTTCAACACTTACTCCAACATTGTTATCAGGACCTCCAATTGTTCAAATTTATCCGCGTAAGCAAGAGACAAATAATACATGTCTCGCACTAGTTCCTTCCTCATGTGATCCTCCTCAACATGATCCTCCAGAAAACCTTGACCTTCATATTGCTTTTCGCAAAGGTACACGTACTTGCAAATTCTTATATTCCATTGCTAATTTTGTTTCCTATGACCACTTACCCTTTATGTCTAGATCTATGATTGTTTCTCTAGACTCCATCTTGGTACCCAAAATAGTAAAAGGAGGCTTTGTATCATCTCGGATGGTCTGATACAATGCTTGAGGAAATACATGCCTTAGAGGATAATCACATAGGATTTGGTGGATTTACCAAAGGGAAAGAAACCGGTGGGATGCAACGGGTCTTTACTGCTAAAGTTAATCCAAATAGTTCTGTGGCAAGACTTAAGGTCGGACTTGTGGCTAAAGGATATGCTCAAACTTACAGGGTAGATTATTCCGACACTTTCTCTCCGGTTGCCAAAATCACTTCTATCCGATTATTTATTTCTCTAGTTGCGTTCGAGAATTGGCCTTTACATCAGCTGGATATCAAGATTGCGTTCCTTCATGTTGATCTTCAGAAGGAATTA